ACTAAACTAAACTAAACTAAACTAAACTAAACTAAACTAAACTAAACAACAGAGATCTTACATGGGCAAGCCTCCAGGACCCTGTTGCCATGCACGCTGCTTCATCCTGGTCCAGTGGACATTTCCAGGTGGACCTCAAGGGCAGCCCCTTCTATAGCACATTGCAGTAGTCCAAATAGACGGTGACCAAGGCATGAGTCCCTGTGATCAAGGCCTCAAGTGAGCAATTAGTGCATTACATGATTTGGTAAAAAGGATTAGTTGACCCCCTAATTCTCAAGAAGAAGCCATGACCCCCAAATTGTGGATTAGTTCACTGTGCTCAATGTCAAAGGTGAAGTATCAACCAGGTCTGGGGCGAGAGGCAGAAATCCAGAGCCATTTTGTCTTTGTAGGGTTCAGTTGGTTCCTCCCCATCTAGACCCTTATATCCTCCATACACTCAACCGGCACCTCCATTGCATCACCTGTCTAGCTAGGGGTGGACATGTATAACTGGGTATCACCAGCATACTGGTGATATCAAACCACAAACCTACAAATAACCTCTCCTAGCCATTTCATGTAGATGTTGGAGGAGTGATGAAAGGCTCAATTCCTACTCCCATCCCACACAACAGAGGCTGAAGCGTTGACCTTCCTCTCCTCCATAACTGTCTGGAACCAACCACGAGGTAGGAGAGAACACAATTGTTTCCCGTTCACAATCCTTGAAGCAAGCCCAGAACGGGACTGTGGACAGCTGTTATGAAAGTTAAGAAAAGAGGAACTACCCCTCTCACAAAGGCAGTACCACCAACTCTCACAAAAAGACACTAATCACATCTTGGACCCAACCGGATGCCACCTCCCAGGAGACCAAGAGGGACAAGAGTCCAGCCCAGAGGTTCCCGAGCTCACAGCCACAAACATCCTGCCTACGTCCTGAAACACAGGTAGCCTGAACTCCTCCCAGGTAGCTCAAACAGGTCTCCCTCACCTCCAAAGGGTCTGCCAGCCAGAGTTCAACTCCAAGGGAAGTAATGCACTAGTGGGATCCTACTGGTTCGATGGGTGATTGTGTGCATGCGTCCCTCATGCGCACATGCCTAACAAGCCAATCAGCTGAGGGGATGAAGAAACAAAAAGCTAGGAGCAATCCTCCCATCCACCCCCATGTGCTTTTCAGTCTTCTATCCTCTCAGCTGATTGGAGGCTTTTTTTTTAAACTACCGGTTCGGCTGAACCATTCCAAACCGGTAGCATGCAACTGTTGAAGTCATGTGATTTTACCTCACAGAAGTCAAGCATGCTCCTCATAGTGACTTTGCAAGGGTTCCCCTGGTTCCTGCTCACCAGGGAAGAACCTGGTTACCTGAAAGAGGACTGCTGGTGTGCTACCTGAAGATGCAGTAAGGGTAGATAAATAATTAGTGCTGCTGTTCTTGTCAGCACAACATTAGAACCACAAATGGGCTCTCACTTGTATCCAGCTTGCCTCACTCTTTGTCTTCCTTCAGGTCTGTTCTAGCCCTCTCTTATGTCGTTTCATCCCTCTGAGCTGCTTGGCGAACCGTGGTTTATCCCTTGGATCACTGAGCTGTCCCAGTGTACATTCTGTACAGTCAAAGGAACACAACGTGTCCATGGGAAACCACCATTAACAATGAAAGCCATCATTCCTTCATGAATTTCAGACCAGAGGTGGTATTCAGCCGGTTCTGACCAGTTCTGGAGAACTGGTAGCAGAAATTTTGAGTAGTTCGGAGAACCTCTGACTGGCCCCACCAACCCCATCTCTTCTCTCTGCCTCCCATTGAGTCCCAGCTGATTGGCTGGGTCTCCTTCGGTTGCCCTGCACAGGAGAAGGGAGCTGGAAAGCAGGTCGGGGTGGTGAGGAGGGAATGGGGATTTTGAAGTAACCTTCCCTGGCCACGCCCACCAAGCCACACCCACAGAACTGGTCGTAAAAATATTGAATCCCACCACTGTTGCAGACATTTATTAAAATAATTACAGGACTAACCGCTCATCATAAAACACACCATCTCCACCTTAACCTGCTTCTGAAAGGCTGTCACTCTCACAAGAAACCCGGTTTATGTTTTTTTTTTCCTTGCTTAAATATCCATCAATCTTCTGCCCCAGAGTCCCCCAATCTTTCTGGCTTTGTGGACTGGCAGGAAGTGGGGAGGGTGGAGATGGTTCTGTGCAAGTGGCGAACAAATAGAGTGTGCAGAACAGGTTCGACTGCTGTTTGTGCAAGTGTGGATGAGTGCTTGTGCTTGCCTGCCACTTCCACGGCCCAGTTCTGAACCTCTCATGGCTGCTGCCTGGGTGTTGGGGATCCCTCTCTCCCCCATCATAGTCAGACAAATCTCAGCCACTAAAAGTCTAGAGAAGAGAAAAGTTGACCCATGCCCCCTACACTTCCAAACCCAACACAAGAACCACTTAAAAACCCCAGACCAAACAACCTTGACGGCTAGCTACGTTAGCTGGCTTCCTGAGTCCCAAGCTCATAATTTGATAGGTGAGGTTCTCCACCTGTGGTGTCCTCATGTTCTTGTGAGAATGAGGGGGGAAGCCATGATCTTTGAGGACTCTGAGTGAGTCACTTCAAAGGGGGAACCAAAACTTTCCTTTTCCTACCCAGATTACTTCCAGTGGAGTGATTCGAGCTGCGAGGACTTGAATCCCTTTCTCTGCCAGTGCTCATAGCTCCTTTTCCTGCTCCACAGTGATGGAACCTGGAGAAACAAGGAAGACCCCTCCGCCTGCCGAAATCGCTGCTCTGTACCCCTTCGCTTCATGGATGCTTTCGGTCGCTTGGATCTGATTTTGCTCATCCTGATGGACCAGAAAATCAAATAAACTCTGTCTAGCATGACTGGCCTCCTTTATTCTGCAGGTCCAGGAGACTGTTGAGGGCCAAAGCTCAGGACCCCACAATCTTCTGCATGGCAAGGCTTGGCCTTAAGGGGGAGGGGTGCTTTTTCTGAAGGACCACCCGTGATGCTATGTTGCTCTCTTGCGTGTCCATCTCATTTTAATTGGAGGGTTGGGAACCCACTTCCTTGCCATTAAAACATTTTACATTGAGTATCCCTGTGGTTTTCCTAACCCTAAACCTTACCCTTAGCACTGCCTCCTCCCATAGCTTTGAATTCTTGCCTCCCTGTTGTCACTGAAGTGGATCACCTCCCTCCTTCTCCCACTGCTGTCCCCAAAAGGAACCTGGTTTGTTTAGCTTGTTTCCCTTGTAGGAAAGGGTTCACTCTCACCATCCTTAGCTCACATGTCTGGGGAACACCAGCACCGCAATAAGGACTTGGAGTTGTGGAAGTAGCCCAAAGGGTCCAATTGTCAAAGGTGTCGAAGTCACACTTCTCCAGCTTGGCAAACAGCTTATTGTCCTGTGTCCTTTGCAACACCTCTTGCAGCTCCCGAGCCTTTGCATCCTCAGAGTAAATCAAGCTGTCATCTAGATAAATCATCAGAAATTTGTCCATGATATCTGAAAGACAGTCATTCCTAAATCAAGAAAATACTGCTGCCTAATAACAGTTAGCCAATCCAAAAAGCATAATTGGATATTTAAATTCACCATCCCTGACATCAAACACTCACGTCTTTCTTTGACTCTAATGAGGTCACAAGCGGTCCTGAGATCCAGCTTGCTAAATATGTGAGCCACCTGTAATCGGTCCATCCGATCTGATCTTAGAGGCGGTGGGTAACGATCCCTTATTGCAACCTTGTTTTGAGGTCCTTGTAAGCGTGGACTCTGCGGATCATAACCCGTCCCTTCTGTCCCAGGCTGACCGAAGCAATTAAGGGCAAACCCGTATGAACTTCAGCGCTCCTTACCAGCTGAATTCTCCCCTCCCCCTTGTGAGCACTCGAGAAAGGGCCCGTTGTCATTTCCCTGAGCCCGTGGATAGTAAGTGTGGGGTGGGTGGGTGGGGAAATTCTCCTCTTATGGTCATCCCGCTCTCCTTCCATGGGAAGCTGGCTGGGCAAACTCCGATGATAAGCCCCGGCTTGCTGCAGATAAACCAAAGTGCTGAATCCCATCGTCTTTACCTTTTCTCAGCAGCTGCTGCTCCTCTGGCTGCTCCCAGTTGCATCAGTTCCCCTTCCCCAGATCAGTTGTGGTAGCTGTGAAGGGAGAAAGTCCCGTGATCTCGGACTGGGCTTGCACAATTGGACCTGCTCCTGCCACAAATGTTTCAAACGGGCATCAACGAGTAAGCAAAGTTGCAATACTGTTACTCCTCCAGGTTTTGTGGAATTCCTTCAAAGAATTCCAACTCTATTAAGGAAGGGACTGCATGTAAAAGCTTCACTTTG